TAACGTCACCTAAAGTGCCTTGAAATTTCTTCCATCAAACGTGAGAACGTCGGAATTAAAAATCAGTTGCATAAATATACACAGAACAATCTTTGAACACAAATGTAGCAACATTTAAAAGTACTCTAAAAATAATATGAAATAATATATATATATATATATATTTCGATAAACGTGCAATCAATTTACAAATTCATGAATTATTCACACAAAAACAAATGCAAAGGTTAATGATTTAATTGGCGAGAAATCCATCGTCGCAAACAATTCAAATAATATACAAAAACCTCCGAATCCGTTATGAATGAAAAGATCCTTGTTTCTATAAATTTCTGCCGTATTAGTTCTTATTTTACTACAAGCTTTCGTCTGTTCCTACAGACACCTTCAGGTATGGAATAGATGTTGTTCTTGTTTTTCTCTCAGTAATAAGAGGACAACGAAAATATATGTATTGTTGTATCCGAAAATGCTATTGGAAATGAGTTAATGTTTTTGGAGCGTGCAGTAGCAACGCTGAGTTTGATTTTAAATTTTTTACAGTTGTGCGTTCATGTACAAATATGGGGATAAACGAATTTGTTACTGGTAAATTTTCTGTCAAAGTGGCATGAACTATATTGTTCAATAATTACAGTAATGTCGCACTTATTATCCAAAAGTCGCACTTGGATCAGTTATTTTAATTTCGATAAACGTGCAATCAATTTACAAATTCATGAATTATTCACACAAAAACAAATGCAAAGGTTAATGATTTAATTGGCGAGAAATCCATCATCGCAAACAATTCAAATAATACACAAAAACCTCCGAATCCGTTATGAATGAAAATATCCTTGTTTCTATAAATTTCTGCCAATTAAATCATTAACCTTTGCATTTGTTTTTGTGTGAATAATTCATGAATTTGTAAATTGATTGCACGTTTATCGAAATTAAAATAACTGATCCAAGTGCGACTTTTGGATAATAAGTGCGACATTACTGTAATTATTGAACAATATAGTTCATGCCACTTTGACAGAAAATTTACCAGTAAAAAATTCGTTTATCCCCATATTTGTACATGAACGCACAACTGTAAAAAATTTAAAATCAAATTCAGCGTTGCTACTGCACGCTCCAAAAACATTAACTCATTTCCAATTGCATTTTCGGATACAACAATACAAATATTTTCGTTGTCCTCTTATTACTGAGAGAAAAAACAAGAACAACATCTATTCCATACCTGAAGATGTCTGTAGGAACAGACGAAAGCTTGTAGTAAAATAAGAACTAATACGGCAGAAATTTATAGAAACAAGGATCTTTTCATTCATAACGGATTCGGAGGTTTTTGTATATTATTTGAATTGTTTGCGACGATGGATTTCTCGCCAATTAAATCATTAACCTTTGCATTTGTTTTTGTATGAATAATTCATGAATATATATATATATATATATATATATATATATATATATATATATATATATATATATATATATATATATGCAAAGTTTCATTAAAAAGTCAAGGTATTACGATTAAGTATTTTATTCTATTTTTCTTGAATTCGTACAAATGTTTTCTTTTCTGGAAGTAAAGTGTGTAAAACCTCTCCCTATGTTCTATATATCCGAGCGCATTCGGCTATTCCATTAACCATTATCAAGGATGTTTTTTGTTTTGTTTTTAATTGTATATGTAGATTTTTACATATACTTACCTGTAGTGATTCAAATGTTGATGAATAATTATACTGGACATAACACTACATGCTTATCAAGAAGACTCAAGTTACATCTCTCATACCACGGTTCTGGTCGTTTTTGGAAAATAAAAGAAAAATGCCATTGCTATAGATATATTAGAACATTTGAACAGTTTTTACACACTTTATATCCAGAAAAGTAAACTCTTGTACGAATGCAAGAAAAAATTAAATATATATATATATATATATATATATATATATATATATATATATATATATATATATATATATTTAAATATGATTCCATCGCGACACTAATCTAAGCTCTACTTCTGTATCGAGCACTGTTTTAAAACTAAAAACAAAAATACTAAAGAACTTCGGATCATCAATCTAACAGTTCTTTCCTATCAATACACACGCACATACACATACATACATACATATATATATATATATATATATATAAAAAATTAAATTTGTCATTTAGCTGATTGATGACATATCAGAATCTTGACTCCAGAATTTCCTAGACGAACCTTTTTTTTATAATTGTTCAGTCCACTCGTAAGAGGTTTCAGCAACTGACATCCGTTTTGACCATTGTCCATTGTTTTTGTACTATGCAGTATATATATATATATATATATATATATATATATATATATAAAAAAGTTTCAAATTAAAAAATAATAATGTTTTATTTTATGAAAGTATTTATTTATTTATATATATATTTGATATTTCAAATTGTCCTCAATTTTTCATCAGAAATAACTGTTACGCTACTTGCGAACAAACAGTAATTTTAATTTATTTGTAACAAACAGTTATTTCTGATGAAAATTGAGGACAATTTGAAATATCAAATATATATATAAATAAAAAATACTTTCATAAAATAAAAACATTATTATTTTTTAATTTGAAACTTTTTATATATACATATTAAGAAAGTATACGTGGTTTCTCATTATGCTATATATATATATATATATATATATATATATATATATATATATATATCCTGTTTGTGATTGAAATAATGATGTAATTCTTACTGGTTTCAGCGACGAAGATACTGAATACTGAAGGCAAGCCTAACTCTCATATTCGAAAACTGGCACAAAACAGTCTTCCAACCTCGGAATTACCTTTGTTCAAGTTTAAACTAAAATTAATATGTGGGATTGCGGCGCCTTCTCTTAACACCGGCTAAGTGGCGTTGTATAAAGCAATATGAAAATAAAAAGAATACAAACCCTCTTTTTCTCTTCTCTCACGCTTCAACTACAGGGGTCGGTCTTATTTCCTCTCGGGGTGGGGGGCATTTTGATCTCCGACAAAACATGTGCTGCATACAACTCAATGCTATTATTCTGACACGTTAGGTCCCCCACACTTCTTACTTGGCATACTCACGAAGTAAAGTGGACTTTGTGTGATTTTATCCGGACTGAAGCACAGTCGTTTTTATAGCTATATCGACAATAAAGAAATAGAGAAATTGAATAAATAAATAAATGAAAACTTTCAATATCAAGCGATACTTGTCCGGAAGTTAGGAAGTTCTGGTCGCAGGCTTATATTAACAAACTCACAGAATGGGCAAAGAGTCCCGGGATATAGGTATGTTAATAACTGCAAGTAAGAATTTACTACGAATATTTGAAATTGCTGGAATTAATTTTTAAAATTATGCCGAATCCGCCAGGTGCATATCATAATCACTTTTTTTTTTATATATAGATCTAATAGCCGTATCCGAGTGGTTAACTCATCCCAGTTGCAGACGCCTGCTCAGGCACATTTGTGTTTATTTAACACCCACCAAACCAAATGTGATTTATACTGCAACATTTACTACCATATAAGAGGATTGCTATTACATAGAGCAACTATTGATACCCACCTAATTTCACTCTCAAAGCTTGGATCAACTTGTGGTATGGTTTTCAGGCACTTCCCAACAGAGCCGAACGCTGGGATCGGCTCTATGACAAATTGACTATGGTGAGATTCGAACCCGGTTCTCATAGACGAAATGCTAATATTTCTAACCACTCGGCTACTATAGATCTAATATTAATTAGTTAATTAATTAGGAGAGTGCGCCTAAAAGTAATACTAAGAAAATGTGTCCCACAATTGTTTATTACTGTACTAAGTTTAAGGTCACTGTCTCGTAACCTTCTGCCAGACTTTACGTTTAGTAAAACTCGATTCTTTCTTTTTATGTGCCATGTCCTTTCAGGACGTAGGCGATCGTGGCTCTCCACCTCCCTCTATCCCTGGCAGCTCTCAGCAAGTTCCTCCGCTATGCTTCCTCTCCCAGACCACGTTCTGTCATCCACCTGCACAAGCTCGCCAGGTATGTCACGCGCTATTTTCCCTTGTCTCTCTTTCCCTCTATTCGACTCATGAGTATCAGATTTTCCAGGCCCTCCTTCCTCATTATGTGTCCCAGAAACTTCAGCTGCCTCTTTCTGGTGTTAAGTATAAGCCTTCTCCTTGTTTGCAACCTCTCTAAGACCTCATCGTTGCTCACATGCTCGGTCCATGATATCCTTAGCATCCTTCTGTAGAACCACATCTCTGTCACCTCGAGTCTCTTCTTCACCTTTGAGGAAATCGTCCAACATTCGCTGCCGTAAAGAAGAACAGACGCCACGTAACAGCTCAATATTATTTTCTTTGCTACCAAAGATATCCTGCTGTCTCGTAATACTCTTACTCTTCTCAGCTTTTGGAGTGTGTCCTTGGCCATCCCAATACGTCTACGGATCTCAGTGTCGCACTTACCGTCCTCTATCAAGACGCTTCCCAGATATTTAAACATCTGCGTCTGCTTGATTCTATTGTTCCCGAATATAAGAAATAAGATCTTAAAACGATTTTTAAAAATCATTTCTGCTCTATCATCTAAAAATCATAGAAAAAGAGAAAGTAAAATTTTAAATAAATAAAAATTTGATGACCAGAGAAAACAGGTTATCAAATTTTAATTTAATTCACAAACTTAAAATGTGGGAAAATGGATTAAATTTATTTTCTCACATAAGCATAGACACTAAACACTTAAAAATACAGAATAAAAACCGGATATAAATGATAATAAATAAATCCTATTGGATAGTCAGTAAGAGAAAAAAAAATTTCCTTAGAATCAGAGTGCTGTATAAAAGCGCTTCCTGTCATTTACAAGTCATTTTTTATTAAATCTGTGTGTCGAGCACATCTCAGAAGTCCATCCTTACAATTATAGTCACAACCGCATTGCACAAGACAAAAATGCAGATGGTAAGTCTATATACAACTAATTATTTTTAATGTTTTTCTATTGTAATTATATACAAAACCCTTTTTTTCTTTTAGAAGAGTTTGATTGAAAGTAGCTACTTACTAAAGATTTGAGTGTGGGCGTATCATAAATTGGAGAGACCTGCACCGGCCTTGCTTACTCGCATTTACAATTATGAACAAACGAATTATTTTCCGATGTGTATTTAAACGTCTATTAGGTGCTTGCTGGTTCTAAAAAAATTAATTATTTCTAAAGATTGGTAATAATCATTAATTGCTGGCCGCTAGTATCCGAGTATGCTCGTCTACTAGAATGGCTAGCCAATCCCTGTTGCAGACCCCTGCTAAAGCACATTTGTGTTTGTTCAACACCCACACAGCCTACCTGTGGTTTATACTGCAACTATGCTGAGCGGGACTTAGTTACAGTTTCTGGGAGAGAGCATGTTATCTGGCGTTATCAACAGCCTGAACAAGGCCAGTATGCTCAAACCCTCGGTCACGATGACTTGTGACTTCGTGCAAGAAGCACAACTATCGACGGCTTCGAAATAGTTCATTTTCATTCACAAGGCTTGGGTCAACTGTGGTATGGCTTTCTTTAGGCACTTCGCAACGGTGCCGCATGCCAGGATAGCCTCCCCAGGTTGATACCATCAAGAAGGCACCTTTCTGATTGATAAATCGACAATGACAAGGTCGGAAAGCGAAAGTTCCAACCACGCGACCACTTGATAATCGGTAGTAATAATAACCAGGCATAGATTTGTTTCCTTTTCCTCTGCAAACAATGAAAGCCGTCATTTACATGGGGAAATTTAGTTTGCCACTGCTGCTAGAAGTAGTATCCGCAACAAACTCGACTCTTTGAAGGCAAAACTTGCAGGTTGGATCGAAATTCAAACGATTCCAAAGCCAAACAATTGATATTTGATCGAAACCTACAATCCTGTATTAAGATAAAAAAAAACACATTTTATGGTCCAGTTATTGAACAATAATTTTTTAAAAAAACAGCAGTTTCCCTCGCATGACTGTTAAGTGGTAATTATTTTATTTTTTATAAAACGTTCATTACGATAAGAAAAATGACCTTCCTACACGGATTTTATTTTTAAGTACTGTAAATGTAAATCATTAAGTTTTTAGCTACTTCATTATTCTCTTAACCAGGCATCACCAAAAAAATGCGTGCGCATTTTTTATAATGAAAACAAAAATAAAATAAAATAAATGCTCCCCGCAGTTTTTAAAAATTTAGAAAAAAAATCAAAGAATTATCTGATTTAAATTAAATTTCCATTACTTATTCATTAATGAATGAATTTTACATTTTTCTTTAGAAAGCTTTGTGGAAATATTTTTATGGGGTTCAGTTTGTGGAAATATTTTTGTCGGGTCAGTTTCATTTTTCCATTTCCATATATCGTGAGTACTTTTAAATTTTAATTTTTACTGGTATTCGGGGTATGTTTTTACAGTTATAATAAAGTTTTAAAAGTAAAGTCCCTGAAGATGTTATTTCAGAAAAAAATGCAATATCACCCTAAAGCATATTTAAATTTTGTCCCGATCCCAACCAAATATAATTCAATAAAAAATATTGTTGAGTGTTGTTGGTACTTACGTAATTTAATAATAAAAAAAAACATATACTGGTGTGCAAACATTTTAATAAGTCAACTACATAAAATGACTACACACCTTTTATTTTATTAAGAATTTAAAATTGTTTAGAAGTATGTTCAGTAGAGGGTATGTGGATCTTAAGGACTGGAAAATAAGTTGTTGCGTTTTTTTCGTAGGTGTGTAGTGGAAAGTTTGGTGGTTACTATTTATTTAATGGTGTTGACGGCCCAAATCAATCCATACAATTTTTTACTCTACGAATGTTAAGCAAAATGCAAAAACAACAAGAGAAAACAACAAGAAACATTTGTGATAAAAGAAAAAGGCAAATATTTGAATAACAAGGAATTTTCAATATATTTTTGTAATGAAAATATTTAAAAAAAAATGAAGTGGATTTTTTTTTAGGTGAAATCTCTGTTAGTTTAATTTATGTTGAACTCAAGTTTGGTGAAAGATTAAATTTTGTTAATGAGTTCTGATTTGATAGGATGTTTGTTAGAATCTGTTATATAAAGATTCTGTAAATTAATTGCAAGAGTAAAATTTACATTTAAGAATTTACTGTTCATGTAAGTAGTAAATGTTTGAAAAGTTGAATGCAATTTTGTGATCAAAGAAGTTATCTACCTTTGATTGTTTTGTGTAATACAATGTTCTCGAATGTTGAGAAATAAAGTTGATTTCTTAGCAAGAATTTGTTTAACTTCTGCGTAAGGAATTTGGTGAGTGATTGGGAATAGAGTTCACTGGTGAGTTTTGGTGAGTGAGAATATCGTTAAGTTTGTATAATGTTCGTATGGACGAAACTTAAGATTATGTGACGTAAAGTTTAGTTGCAATTCGTTTGAAGTCACGATGCTCACTGGCAAGTGTGAATGAGTTTCTGTTTTTATTTGCTTCGGGTGGCTCACAGAGACTTGGCGCGAACTTGGATTTCAGTCACGAGCTGTAAAAATTAGTTAAGCTTGGGTGGATAGTCACGCTTACTTGTATATTTATTAAGCAATGAGGTCTCGAGATTTTTTGAAAGTGTATGAAGTTGAAAATATTCTGTGATCCACTTTTTGCACAGATTTGACCAAACTATTTTTAAGTATTTGGAATAATGTAGAATTTGGGTTCTACAGGTGAGTGTACACCACTTTAAGCAGGATGAAGCTGAAAAAGACGCAGAACTATTGAACCAATTGAAAACAACTTTGATGATGAAATCATTATCATAATATGCAAATTTCTAAGTAAGAATTGTTCTATTTCATTAACATGAGTGTAAAATATTTTGGCAAGTAATTGTATTTGAACATTATTAGCTTGTTTTTTTTTACATTGAAATCGTAGTTAAAATGTCTGCTGAAACAAGGTTGAAAAGTTATAACTTTGAAAAGGAAAGATGATTCAACGAGGAATAACTAGGCAGCTGGGAATTTCCAGAAATAGTTGGGAATTTCTAGAAAACAGCGTTCAAGCCACCAAAAAGAAGCTTGCTACCATTGTAAGTGTAAAGAAAACCGGAAAACCGCAAAAATAAACAAGCAAGATGAAAAAAAAGATTGTGAGAGACTCTGTGAGCAATGTAAAATTAACAGCCAGAGAAGTGAGGAGTGGATGCAGTCTTAACAGATACATTGTGCAGGGTATTAGGAAAATAAAACTTGAACGCACGTATAATAACAAAATAAACATCATTAACCAAAAACCGGCAGAATAGAAGATTAAATTGATCAAAAGAACATCTAACATGGGATGCTGGAAAGTAATTTTTAGTGACACACCACAAAGACAGTAAAATTGGATGATGGACGCGTTTTAGCACGGAGTTGCATCAAAAGCAAAGGTAGAAAGAAATTGGTAAAAGCCGATGGAAACCTAAACAGCTTATTACGGACTAATCTTCTGCCAAACGGCGAAGATGGAGAATTTATTCAGTATGACTGTGCTCCTTGTCAAACTTCGTATCAAAGAAAAAATTTCTTATGGATGAAGATGTTCAACATACCGCTAATCACTCTCGATTTGGAGGTAGAATTAAAATAAGTAATTAATTTACCAATATGGCCCTAATGTTTTGTACACCAGTGTACTATTTTCTTCCAAATTTGACAGGAAGAAAAAAAAATCTAAATTCAATATTTATTTTCCAAAAAATTACTAAAGTAATTTTTCAGTGGAATTTTGAAATTCACCCAGTTGCTGTTCATGACAAGAGATTTTATTTTATTATCAAATAAAGGTGGATTTGAAGAATCAGAAAATGTAAAATTTAATGCAAATTTCGAGTGTGAACATTTCTTTTAAAGATGTTTTCATTTGCACAATACTTGCTTTTCCTCAATGCAGCCTTGGTTCTTTTGATTACAATTTGGTCCTCTGTTGGTGGAGATTTCCATTTGCGAAGCATATTGCTGCTGTATGCAATAGGCAACAATAAACTACAAAGGAACTCAAATTTAAATGCTGCATTTGAACTTGCTTTTTAAAAGTTTAATTATAATTCTTCTGCTGTCACTTAATTTAAAGACAATTTGATGTATGTAGGTCCTTACTTTCCATACAAACAATTATTTTTATTTTATGAGTGTCTTTTGATAGATTTCACAATTAATTTCGATTATTACCCAGATTTATTTCCAAGTTATAAAAATTATCGTACAAAAAAATTTGTCACAAAAAATCATGTAAAAAATTGCCTATGACAATTGTAATAATGAAAACTTGAGAATCCAAAATTTCTGTAACATGAGCTATTGGAAGTTAAAGAGTTATGTCCCTTTAATTGAAAAAGTGTGGTACAGTGATATACTCACATTAGCATTTATTATATAGATATATATATATATATATATATATATATACATAGTGTATCAATATATTATAAGTATAGACATATTATGTAAATATTTATAATATATACATAATATATATTTATAATATATATATATATAAGCTATATATATATATATATATATATATATATATATATATAAGCTATATATTATATAAGCTACATATATATATATATATATATATATATATATATATATTAAAAAATCACGAGGTCAATTAAAATACGTGACCATAGTTTGGGCCTGACGGTCTTTTTTGAGTGATACTTTTAAAATGACCACTTTAACACTTTTTTTCAAAAAACCGCAAAGAATGCTACATAATTATCTTTCAGAAAAATATAACAGGCTCATATATATTCACATATATATATATATATATATATATTCACATAACATATAGATATATATGCATAATATACTTATATATACATAATATAATTATATATTTCTTTGCATTGTACAAGTGTTTTCTTTTTTGGACACAGCTTGTGTAAGAACACTCCAAATGACCTGTAGATCCAAGCACTTTCAGCTAATCTGTTAGCCATTATCAAGGATGTTTTTTGTTTGTCTGAATATGTAGATATAGCCATGTTCATAACTGATATTATTTTGAGTTGGTTTCTTGCTTAAAACTTTATTATTTTTTAAACATTTTCTTTTTTTGGCATTTATATGATAATAATATCAATTATAAACATGACCACAACATGCTAACTATTTGGTGAAATCAAAACATTCCTATAGCTATAAAAAGAAATCTAAATGTTGTGATAATTACAACAAACATGAGGACATTTAGCTTGACTGTAAATAGTAATAACGCCTCATCCCCCAAAATCCAACAGAAATGTAAAAGTAACCCAAACTCTTGTTTTTCTCATTTTCTTCCAGACAATCCTTTTCTTATGCTTTTTATGCCTGCTAAACACTGTGAAAGCTTCAACATATTCTTGCGACAACAACAGACCCTTAGAAATGCTGTATAGACCATCCTCAGAGAACTACTCATACATTGCAAGTTCTAAAGAGAGCAACAAAAGCTGTGAAATACCCAAAATATTTAAACCTTTTTTTAAAGACATTAGCATGTACAATGTCGATGAAATTGATGGCAAAAACATAGACAATGACTGCTGTTGCCCAACGTAAGTAATTACTTTTATCTTTTAATTTTCATACTGGTCGGAAACATTATCTTAGATATATAATTCCATCCTCAAAAACAAAAAGTCTCATTTATTTACTGACCTTAAATTAGTCTGTTAAGACAAATATTGAGTACCAAGTAGAAATACAATTGAGTTTTGTGAAAATCATCTTCCTGCCATAGACCAGCAGTGACTAAATTAGTCTCATAAAATATTTGATCTTCACCTTTTCATCACCTATTATGACATTGCAGCAGACTAAACCAAACTATTCTATTTACATTATTCAGACTATTTTCCTCATCTTTGTCACCATATTTATCACAATGTTTCAGCCATTGTACGCTCCGGCCTTCTTCAGGTGGTTGGAATGTCGAACTGAACCCTTTATTTCGCTCACTGAGGTAGACTGTTCTACTTCCACCTGCCAAGTCTAATGGATGTCAGTTATCAGTTAGATCCAGTGACAGGACCCAAAGAGTGTGAGTTCAATACCTGGTTAAGGCGGTGGAGAAATTGGAGAGGGAAATTAACAGGAGATAACTGATAACTGACATCCATTAGACATGGAACTAGAACAGTCTACCCCAGTGAGTGAAAAAAAGGGTTCAGTTCAACATTCCAACCACCTGAAGAAGGCTGGAGCATACAACAGCTGAAACGATGTGATAAATATGTCAACAAAGATGAGGACAATAGTCCAAATAATGTAAATAGTGTACATCATACCTCATCTCAGAAATATAGACTGATACTAAACCAAACTAATTCAATATTTAACTAAACTAAAAGTTGGGATTTAGGATTTGGGTAGTAAATCTTTGATACCCATTCTAAGTATAACAACGATAGAGGACAATAAATAACCTGGAATTAAAGCATTGGTTTGTGAATTCAGTGACATAGTAATTATGAGTTCAATCCCTGGGTTGGGCTGTGTGTGTTTGGACTCGGTGAAAACAGGGCAACCAATAACTAAATAAGAACTAGATTAGATATCCCTAGATATGGTTTACAGAAAACAAACACTCTAGCCCGTTAACTGAATAAAGTGTTCAGTTCATATTCCCTGAAAGTTACACGGATCAACAGACACCAAAGGGCACAATGACTAAAATGTTGTGTTAATAACAACAAAGATGAGGAAAACAGTCTACATGTAAATAATTTAAGTAATGAGAATTCCTCATCCCAGAAATTCAGATGAAAAATATAACAAAGACTTGTAAAAGCTATGAGATTTCATGACTAAAATTTATTAATATTTTACAAGTAATAAATATAAACTATGTATGATAATAGAACAGTTTTTTGATTTTCATTTTGTTCTTTACTTTGTTTTCTTTTTTTTTTTTTTTTCAAGCAAAAGGCAGTTTTTAAGTATAGACCACGATGATCCATATTTGATTAATACAAGTAACCAAAGAAAAAAGCTGGCTTTTGGAGAATGCAAAAACATCATACATATCATTCGGATTGGCTACTGCAGTAAACAGTAAGTAAAATATTTTTGCTGTTATAAACTACTTTTTTCAGTTTCATTCCAAAGCAGGAAAAGATACTTGAAATAATACACCTGAACTATCATCATCATCATCATCATCATTTGTTCTATGACCAGGTGTGTTCATAGGGTCACTGCATAACTAAGCACCTAACCATTTCACTTCACCTATCTGGGTTGAAATTTGGAGAAGTATTCATTCATGCATGGCATGTCTTAGACAAGTAGATTTGGTGGAACCCAACTCTTCAAGTCAAACTATAACTGATATCTTCCTCCTTGAAGACTTATGAACATAGGGTCATTGATTCCATTGAAGAGGGACCCTCCACTGTGGTCTAGGAAGTCCTCCCTGACATTAATGCTCTGTTATCACCCCACTGGCTGCATACATAGCTATGCAGCACAGTTTACCCCATTGCTCAAGATGGCCATTGACCCAATAAGAAGGTCCATCTGCCTGTTGATAAGTCTTATTTTTAATTCTATTGGGTATCTAGCCATCCTCTTCACCAGAAAAGCCTGACAGAGGAACCAGTTTAGGTATTGATGAATACCCCCACTCCATATGTCAGCTAGTACCTAGTTACATACAGTGATGGGATTCAGCAGGTTCACACAGTTTTGTGTAAACCTGTTCTTGGAATTTTATGAACTCAGCAAACCCTTTGCTAGCTGCAACCTGAACAAATTGCTACAAATTGTAGTCACATAATTGATTGGGGATGTAAATTCAGGTGATCAAATAAAGGTTAATACAAATTTCATGAACTGCTGAACTTGACAGTGCCAGGAATTTGGAATATTCAAGAAATAGTTACTCCCTGGAAAGCTGTGGAAGAAAAGCTGAATGGCTGAAATAAAATTTTTCATCACAATATTCCCATTAATGATTTTTGTGACTGTGTGGAAAATGTTCTGAAAAACTTTCATAATCCTGTAATTCTTCAAATTGTACAAAAAAATATTATCAATACGATTGCTTTCGCTTCTTCTGAGGCAGAAAGAAGTTTTTCAAGAATGAATATTATATACTCAGATAAAAGAATCTGCCTTACAGTGGAAAATGCTGCAAACTTGATGACAATTAATTTCATTGGTCTTCATTTAAATTTATGGGATGCCACTCCTTTCATTAAAACATGGCTTAGGAAAAAATCACAGTGTTGTTGACAATAGAGTGAGACAAAAAAAAAGCTGAAAATTATGATGACAATCAAGTGGCTATTTGGAAAGGATCATGAATAAAATATTTTAAAGCATTTCTTTTAATTATTTTTCATTTAAAAAATAACATGCAATATAATGCAGATAAAGTTTGGTATTTTTGAATAGCTGCAAGAAAAATTTACTTTATTCCTAAATTATATCAATGGACTATGGAAAAATGAGGGAATCTGTTGTTATTGAGACATGTTGTTGAGAGAACCCATTCTTAACATGTTTGAATCCCACCACTGCTTACATGAAGCACATGTGGCACTTGAAGAGTTAACTGACATAAATAGATTCAATATATATCATTAAAGAAGAGCTAATTCATTGTTTATCACACAATGTCTGCATCTAGCTTTGCATGCACATATGTAATGCATAAGTGTATGTGTGTGCCGGGTGTGAGTGACTTATATGTGCTTGTGCCATATATACACACAATTTGACTGAGTTTGAAATAAATATTGGAATATTCTTCACTCACTCACTATGGACAATACAGAGCTGAGCAATAATATTATTAAATTGGAAACAAAAAAAAACAAAAAAATATTTTTTAAAACACTAATAAAATAATTAAGCTTTTATTGAATGTTTTGGAAAATTATTCAATAATAAACAGAATTATTTTAAAAGTTATTTTTTTTTTTTTTTTGGCTAAACATGGATAAACAAGTCCCACAAGAAGATAGTGTCAAAAGAACATTTTTTCTCATAACATGCTTTTTTAACTACCTTTGCTCTTTTTTAACTATCTTCACTCTAAATAAATAGCGTTTAATATTCTAAATTGTATATTCTCAAGAACAAAAACAAATAAATTTATTTTCATCATATGTTTAAATTTTATTCCAATTCTAATCATAGTTTTTTAAAACAATAAACATTGCTGAAGAGTGAAGTCAATTAAAAACTTATGTAAAAATTTTTTATCACACCCATTTATGTCATACAATTATTCTACTAATACAAGCCATAAGAGACACCCAACAGCAATGTATACGTGACATGGCAGATTTATTGTGAAAGTCTGGACTAGTAGAATGTAGCTCATCTGAACATCATACTTATTATAAAACCCAGGTTGTGTGTGTGTGTCTGTACGTTTATATATTGGATCGGATTTCCTATATTTTTCAACCAATTTCAACAAAACTTCACAGGACTACGTAAAATTACCTTGCGGTGGTTCTAACAGCACCAAAAATTGGAAAAACACAATTGTATTTGCACGAAATCGATTTGAAAACATGACTAAGAGGCATCACGAGAATGAAAGGGGGACAACTCATATCGAGTTATACTTATTATGAAACCCAGGTTGTTTGTGTGTGTGTGTGTGTGTGTGTGTGTGTGTATTCATTTATATATGGGATCAGATTTCCTACATTTTTCAACCGATTTCAACAAAACTTCATTTTGTTTTTTTTTGGCAGGTAGTGTTTCTTATTGTCTTGCACACTTTTTCTTTATTTTTACATTCAGAATGCTTTAAAAATTCCATTTACAAGACAATGGTTTATGATAAATTTCTATTCAATTGGTAGACTCATAACGATTGAAAACAATGTTTTTGTTTGAGTTTGACCAATATATATAAAAAAAAAAAAAAAAACTAATTAAGACATGCATGTCCGGCAACCTTAAACAATAATCTTTGTCAATTTTATTTTTCAGTCTTTATGATAGTCGATACTTGATCTATCTCTTATTGTTACATCCCCCGGACAACGTCGGGCTCTACTGCTAGTCTGTTATGAAAATAGCAATAGAATAATGAGAAGCTATCAACTTTTCATCTGTGGGAAAAGGATTGTAGGCTGGAAAATAATTCATTACCCACAAGGTTGTAGAAACCTTTTTTGAAATCTGTCAAGTCTGAAAAGTGAGAATTGATCAGCTTAGCCCAGATGTGTCAGCAATACCCAAGCTTATCTAGCTCATGTAAAGATAGAGCATGGTAAAAGGAATCCTGTACTTTCAAGAACAGTATAAGAAGCCAAACCCTTTTTCCAGGATCTTTAACAATGAATCATATTTACAAGTTTCAGTTGATATCTAGATAGATAGCTTGAGTCCCAATAGACATTCCAGGTAAGAAGCCTCATTGAAAGTACAACTATTCATCATGGCTGGAGAAAAATCTTTGCCTGCTCTGTGATGGTGAAATGTTAGCTTGGTTTTGGCAATAGTAAATGCTACAATCCTGTTCTTCATATTAAGCTTTGCAAGCTAGTTTAGAAGATAGATTGGCTATAACCAGATAACCATGTTGTCATTATTTTATTGATGCTTAAAACAAAATTACCAAAATATTAATCACAGATGTTCCCAGCAAAAAAAAAAAAAATCCTGTTATTGTCCTTTCTCCTCACTAAACTCATCTCATTTTCTTCTACTCCCAGTAGCCCCTTGTGTCTTGGTGGCATTATTGCTTTGTTTGGGGTGAAATGATAAAAAAAAATGAAAATAAATTTATATACATTTGTGATTTCTGTCTGAATTTCTGGGATCAGGAGTTATCATTATTTACACTTTTACATTCGGACTATTGTCCTCATCTTTGTTGTCATTACAACATTTCAGTAACCTACAGGGAATTCTGAACTGAACACTTTATTCAAACTAGTGGTGGATTGTTCTTATTCCATTGTCCATGTCTAGGTATATTTTGTCTAGTTCTTATTTTTAGTACTGCTCAGATTTGCTCGTCCAGTTTCCACCAAGTCAAAGTATACACTGCCCAGCCCAGGGATTGAACTCACAATTACTATGTTACCTAATTCCCAAACCAATGTTTTAATCCACTAAACTATTGAATTGTACTTTTTTGATAATTATGCTTTTGTTTTTCTAGGTCAGACAGTTGTGGCCAGTGCAAAAATGTCAAACAAATATACAACCTTTTGATTGAAGAAAATGGAGAACTTGTCTTTGATAAATTTAAACTGCCGTCATACTGCATTTGTAATCATTAAGAGAGCACCACCAAACCAAGAAACATCTTCAATCACCAATACAATCATTTTCTGATTACAGTTCATAGCTTCTCATTTGTGTTTCTGTACATATGTGTGTGTGTGAGTGTGTGAAGTTGCATCACATCATACAAGGAATTATATACAGAAAGTGTTCTTTTAATCTTGCTAAGGAAATTATCAAAAACACATGGTTGATTGAATAAAAGTTCTTAATAAATTTAAATTTATTCTTCTATTAGGTAGAGTCATAAATAAGTTTCTTTTGTGTTTATGAACCTTATTTGTGAAAAAAAAACAAAGTACAATTACATTTTTATTCAGTTCTATATTTGCTGTTATTTACAAAGACTTCTTGCCACTTATCAGGCAGTTCTTTGAAACTTTTGAGCAAAATTCCACAGAGTTTGATGTGAAAAAGTGTTCAAGAGACTTTGAATCTGATTTTTATTAGAGAAATTTGTCACGCCCAAAGTGTTTTTGATTGATTCATTCATTTTTTTACAGCTTACCAACCCTTTGCAGGTTATTTATCACCAGAAAATATTTTAAGATTGTAAGAATTTTTTTTTAAGATAATAATGATTTAGTCTTAGTCAACCCATAGCTGGGTGGGGGGGAGAGAAGAGGTGGATTCATACCTTTTTCAAGGTATTTGTGCATAAGTGAATAATAACAAACCCAAATGAAAATGGAACTCTGATTAACAATTCCGAGCCATTATCCATTACACCACCTGCACATCCATAGTTTACATCACCTGGTATTCCCAAGCAGTCACCCATCTAGGTACTGACCAGGCTCAATGTTGCTTAACTTTCGGGATTGCATATAAACCACTATTTCAATGCTATATGGTCATATGCTCAAAGCATTTTGCAGCGATTGTAAAAGGTAATAATCGGTTTGGTACAAGGCCATTTGAACTGAGTTCCAAACTTTTTCTTCTGTTATTCATATTGTATGCAACCTTGCATTTTCATGAAGAAAACAAAACATTTTTCTTTTTAATCTATCCTGTCATTGTGATGCAAAATCTTAGGTATGTTTGTACACTCCAAATTTATTCTTAATTACCAAGTATAATTCGTCATTAGGATTATCCATTCAACATTACAAATGTGATTATGGTCAAATCATACTGAAAGTACTGGTCCAGTCAGTACATAGATAGGTGACCAATTGGGGATACCAGGTACTGTAAGTAACTTACTACAGTCTGAAATATGTTTCAGCTTTAAATAACTGCAAAGGGTGCATGAGCTGTACAAATACAAATCAATGAAACCAACCATTACAATCGATTCCCCAAAATGGAAATTACTTATGACTCAACCTAATATTTTTCAAAATAAATCAAAGAGTTCAGCTGGCTAGATGTAGCCATAAATTCTATGCTAACAGTTTTTTTCTCACATTTCTTGCTTGTAGAACTCCCTTCTGACTATATGCTTTCTAGCCAGCTTTAATCTGCAAAAATTTAAATGCAATGTCAATCACTATCCACTGTCTACCTGATTACTCTCTTCTCTTTCTGCTCATCATTAATGTTTCTGTTCTTAATTCTTCCACACATGGTACCCCTTGTGTTTTAGTGGTATTTGCTGCCTTGCTTGGGGTGATTCCAAGTAAAAAAATGTAGCAAAGTTTTACATACAGGTGTACACAAAATAGTTCTGCTCTTCCCTGCTTATAGAAATTAACTCAGGTGGGTGTTGCATGTGCAATATAATAAAAAAAAAGTGGTAGTGAGCTGTGGCATTGTAGCTATGGCAGTTATATGATGCAGAAAGGATTTGATATTGTTTGCAGAATGATTTGTTGATGCCCAAAGGATAAGGCACTCTCTATCTAAAGTGGCAACTGTTCTTGAGTTTTGTCAAGAGTATAACAGGAAATAAGCAACTACTTCTGGTGCATCAACATAACACTCCTTCAAGAGTTATTTTTATTTTATCAAATGTAATATATATATATATATTTGCATGTGTGTGTGATGTGTGTGAGTGTTTATTTTTTTCAATAAATATTCAATAGCCTTATGTCACTGGACAATAATATATATATATATATATATATATATATATATATATATATATATATATATATTTTTCTTTGTATATATATATTTTATATATATATATATATATATATATAAAGATAAACATTATTTAATATCATATTTACATTAATCATAACATATTTATTTTAACTATCTACTTCATGGTACACAATTTTGTGATTTGGTCAATACATTGCAAGGTTTGTTTAAGAAATGCAGTTAATTCTTTATGTTGCTCATATTAACAGCACAAAATTACTGATAATCAATAGAGCATAATCAGTAAGAAAAGAGTTTGTTTTATATATATATATATATAATGTTAAATTTTATTTTTGGTGGGTACCCATATTTGAGTAGATGCTCAGTTTATTCATTAAAGAGTATTTTCATTTATTTTTGTCTACTGGCCTGAATATTTGTGAAATCTTACTAAAGAAAAACATGCACTTTCCAGCAGGATTTGAATTGAGAAACCATCATTAGATCCGACATACTTTAAACTAACTCTGCCATGGAGCACATCATCACTCAAGCAAAGTTGAATAGTATCTTATAATTAGAATAAATAAATATACTGTTTAACAAATAAACAGAGCATCTACCCAAATATAGATATCCACTAAAAATAATTCTGTTTCCACCTGAAATAACTAACTGCCAGTTTGACATATGAAAAAATAAGTTTAATTTTCTAACCAAATCTTTTGAATAATAATGACTCTTCACAAAATTATAAATAATGTCGTCATTCCAGATATGTTGAGATGGAAGAAATTAAAGATATGTAAGCAATTATGTTGCATTTTTTTTATTTGCAGCTTTAAGCAAATAAATAAAACAAATTTAATTGTAGGGAATTTTAATATTGAAGTTCCTCAAACAATAATTAACATTAAACAATCCTTTAAACATCTGATTGGAGTTAAATCTCAAATTCAGATTATATTTTTATATTTATTCAATTGTTTGTATTGCATGCCTACATTTTTTATGTAATAAATTATTTATACTGCAAATGCCTCAAGGTGATCTTTTTTAACATATTTTATATTTCTGGCTTCAGTATCTTGGTTTAAAAATGTTTTGACAACAATATCATTAAATAATCACTTGATTTAGTTATAATGCAATTATTTAATTTATGTGTTTAATGGCACATAACTGAGTGGTTGGAATAAGACCCGAGTTTGAATCTTAACATAAGCGATTTGTTAAGGAGATAACTTGATAAAGTGAGCATGAGAAGATGATCCCAGAATGTAGCACTGTTGGGAAGTGCCTGAAAACCATACCACACCATAAAATTTGGTAGACGAAACTGTTTGAAAACTGTCATTGGTTATGCTAGCAAGAAGTCACATTTCATCATGACTGTAGGTTTGAGCGTACTGGCTTTGTTCAAACGTGTTCACTCCCAGAAACTGTAACGATGATTTGTTCAGCGGAGATGCATTATAAATCACAAGTTAGTCCTGTGAGTATTGAACAGATACAAATGTGCCTAAGTAGACATCTGCAACAGGGATATGCTAGCTACTTTAACAGATACTTGGTCTGCCTTACAAAATACATGTGTGCAGATATGTAAGTAGCTCTGAAAGTAATGCCTCTTATTGCAATATGCTAACCCATGCTATCAAAGGTAGATAGTTTTGTTTGTTTGTTTTGTTCTACAGCATATCAACCACAATGGGTTATTTAATGCCGACAATATTTTTTGCAGGTAATATTTTTTCCTTCAAAAAATGTATTGCTGACAATATTTTTTCTTAAAAAATTTATTTCTGGTAATAATTTTTTTAAAAAGTATTTCTGGTATTAAAACATTTTTACACTTTCATAGTGTTTTGACCCAGTTTGGAGGGGGTTAACTATTTGCCCATAGTTAGGACCCTAACAAGTGCTACCACCCGGGTCAGGGTGGACCTGGGAACACCAGCAATTAAGAGGTGGTTCAACGCTCCTCAAAACCTCCTGATCAGAGGCCTTGCTGTTGGACGTAGTTTATTGTCTTACCCAGGACGTGGATGTAGTTTATCATCATACCCAGGACTGAAAAGGCAGATGGTGAAGACAGTAGAGTTTAAAGCTTCTCAACAATAACCCAGTATTTTTTTTCATTTGTCTTCTTAGAAAAAGAAGCTTAGTGAAAGTCTGGTAAAATGGTGTCTTACCATAAACTTATTACAAAACAGGAGTGTGTTACTGAATTCTTCCATACATGAAAAATTGTACCCTTTGAAATTTATCGACATTTACTGAACATTTTTAGAGACCAAACAGTTAGTCAATGGGTAATGTATTCTAGCAGTAGTGACAGTGATGTATATAACAAGCTGTGTTCTAGTTGGGGGCCCTAGAAAGGCTCTTCTATACCAATGGCAAAAATACATACCAAATGATGGTGACTATGTGGAAAAATAGTGTTTCACAGCTGAAAATTTTCTCTATCCAACATAATTTTTTTCTGTTTGCAATATTTTTTTTTCTGTTTTTAAAAATGAATCCATGACTCATAGTGCCTTCACTATGCAGATGTGAGTCAAGATACAAAATATTGTACTAGTTTTGGATACCAAATAACACCTCCCTAATAACTTATTAATTTTTAACAAAGTCACCCTATTTAATAGATTGCTGGAAAACTTTGTTTTGAAATTTACTATGGTGGGAAACCATTGCATTGAAAATTCTCTTTTTGGGAAACTGAAATATCTTATATGTTCCATCCATTTAAACATAGCGAAACACTCAATTTTGTATTCAACTCACCCCACTTATTAGATTTTCTCATTTTCTACCCACAACGTTTATTATATTTACTGATTCTTCCATGCCACCATTCATCACTACCCCTACCACATTTATTTGGTACTTGAGAGTATGTGGATTTATAATTCCGAGAAGAAAAAATAGTTACTTTGAGGCATGTGAA